TAATAGAGGATGATTATTACATAAAATGCTATTATTATTATAGCAAGCATTTATTGTGTGTACTGCTCATAAACTCTCTAAATCTGACCTATCTATCAAAAATGGATTTCACAATCAAATTATTTTTATTCGATATTAATAAAATTCCAAAGATTTCATTAAGAAGTCATTGTGTACTTAAGGATGCAGATTAATTAGGTTCATAAATTCTTTTCATTTTTTGTGGAAGTAATTTAATATTTTTCTAATGCTTTTTATTGACATTTTAAGAATAGAATTTTCATTTTTCTTATGAACAATGCTAATAATCACTTATAAATGCTTCTTTTAAAATTTGATATGGTATATACACATCTCACATACACAATCATATGCTGCATAACAACACACTGCATATACAACTGTGGTCCCTTAAGATTATAAAGGAGCTGAAAAATTCCTACCCTCTGGTGATGTAAATATACTCTAAGATGTTCACACAACAGACAACAAAATTGCCTGACCACGCATTTCCCAGAAAGTATCCCCGTTGTTAAATGGTGCATAACCATATATGTGTGGTGGAAACAGTGTTGTCCAAATTGGTCTATTTTTCAATTGACAAGAATTCTTAAAGTTATTATTTTTAATACACAATCTTATTTTCAGCACACAAGTAGTACATTGTCTTGGGCATAAAATAGATGAAATTGTGCTCTTAGTTATAACACATATCTAACATGGAGCTGAGCTCAAAATTAGAAATTATTGGGCCGGCCCGGTGGCGCACTGGAGAGTGCGCCACTTGGGAGCGTGGCGACACTCCCGCCGAGGGTTCGGATCCCATGTGGAGACCNTCCTCCTCTGTGAAAAATGCTCAGGTAAACAGTGAGGTGGGTCAGCAATCTGCAGCCTGGTTATTTTAATCATCATCATGATTGGATTGGTCAATTGAATTAAGAGCTTAGAGGTCAAATATACAGTAACTAATCCAAATGTCATTCAAGATATATCAAAAAGGATGTATTCTGTCATTGTCCCCTGCTCTTAATCTGCTGTAACTAAGTCATATCATTGGAGATTTTCATACAATTACTGGCATACTGAGAAAGGAGCTATTCTGAAGACATATGAAGATGACATGAAATTGCGTACATATGTGCTGATTGACTTGACTGCACATGATTTGTGCCAGTTAAAGAAAAAAAAATTTGCTACACAGCCCAATGAAATGGCCCTATTTATTAGACAGTATTGCTCATAGGACAGAATACCTTTTTAAAAGGTTTGGAATGAGAGAGAAACTTTTTGAACAGTTTGTCAATTGGGAAGACTTTGCTTCATAGCTAATGAAAACAATAATAGTTAAAATACTACTGATACTATTTGATAGCGTTAAGAATGCATCAGAAAAAGATTTTATGACTTAAGAACAGGAAATAGAAGCTGGTTATATTACCGTATGATCCACCGGCAGACAACACTTGATGTAGAAAGCTTTGGATAATAGGCAGCCTGGAAAGACCCAGAAGATTCAGTCAACAAAAATCTTCCATCACAAGCTGTGGCTGCAAAACAATGCCGATCAATGTTAGACAAAACAATCTTCAGATTCAAACTGGATAACAAACACTTCATAGAAAACTCAAGACAGAATCTGTACAAGGTTTTTTTTTACAAAACTGAAATGACCAAATGGGAGTAAACCAGATCTCATGTTTAAAATCTATTAGCTGTTTCCAAATACTCTTACACATCCCATGATAGAGTATTTTAGAAAAGCATTCCATTTCTAAACACTCATAGTTAAGCTGCGTTTTAAGTCTAGTATTCCATGTTTGTAAAGAAACAAATATATCTGAACTGTAAACTGGAAATTTAGAGAAATAATTAGTCTTATTTGTCCCATTAGATTGGAACTAGGTGAATTTCAAATATACGCACCAAATGTGATGTTCCCCAGAAAATGATTAGAATAAGGCCAGGAAAATGGTAGTGCTGGTGACCTGTAGAGAATTCCACCCCTCCAATCTGTTTCATCCTTTTTTCTAACTTCATCACTCTTGTTTGTTTTGGATAGAGGACCTAGCTTAATATTTTCACTTAGTATTTCTGATTATGTGTTTTGCTTTCCATGATGACTCATTTTCCTCTTTTAGTTCTTATAACATGTTTATTTCATGAACCTCTCCTTAATGTCAAGCATTATTAGTTGTCTTTAATTTATATCATAATCATTTCCAACTAGATTAAAAACTTCTTGAAGGCATGCACCAGGAGCCATAACTTAGAGCTTTCGGCTTTTTCTCATACACTTGTTATGTATAGTATATGCTAAAGAAATAAAACCCAGTTGATTTTTATAATTTTAGTCTTTCTTACATTATTTTTTATATCTAGATGCTTAGTTACTTAGTTCTGTTGACACCATATTGTAAAATTATGACTCCTAGACAGTACCTTCTTTCTCTTGGTGGGTTTTAAATTCCTCAATGCCAGAAGCATTGATGGATGGTAAGAAAGTTAAAGAAAAGTATCAAAATTAAATCGCTGCTTTTAGAACTTGAGTGCTGGAATAAATTAATCCCAAATTGAGGTATGAAAAATCCCATTGTAACATTATACAGCAATTCTATCAAATTATACAATACAAGCTATTATATAATGTAAAATAATACAATAAAGTAAATAAATTAAAAAAATTGAACAGCACATAGAAATCCTGGTAAAAATCCCAAATTTTTGGCTTTTTGTTATTTTTGGTATATTTTTTGAAAACCATAAAATTTACTTTGGTAAGTTAATTTTAAGATTCAAAGTCTGTTTAAGAATAATGACCTAGAAATTAATTACATTGGCTTATGACTTGATAGCCTAATTCCTAGCAGAAAACAAAACAAAACCAGAAAAGAATGAACTGAGAACAGAAAAGATAATAACCCAAGAAGGAAGAATTTAATTTTGAACAATCCAGCAAAGACCTAAAGAAAGGAAAGAGAGAAAATTATGGCTTGTTGAGACAACTGAATCTTCTTGTGTACAATACTTACTGCAAACAAGGACAAATTAAGGCTACTATGCGATGATTTGAAGATAAACAGTAAAATACATGACTTTTAAATGCAGTACTAAATGACTTTCTAGTTGCAAAAGCAAATCTATTCTCACCTTCAACTCTCTGCCCACTGCAAACCATGCCAAATAAATGGGACTATTGATTCCTTAGCCTTAATGACAACAGAACAAAAATAGTGTTTTCTCACATTTTTTATGACACATGGAGCCTTTTAATCACAGTTTGTTAAGAAACAACATGGACTCAAGGATAATAGGCAGTGCAATAAAGTCCACTGCTATTATAAATAGTTTATATTTAAATTATGATATGTAGAACCAATGAGGTAGAGTGATCAATTCTAAGCCCTAGAATATAACTGCTAATACTTATGAAATGTATACTATGTGCCAGGAATTGTTCTAAAGTCATTCAATATCTATTAAGGTACTCTTCCTAACAACTTTATGAAGTTATAGGTGGGGAAACTGAAGCATAAAGGGGTTAAATTACTAGTATAAAGTCTACCAGCTTATAAGCAGAAATTCAAAGCTGGGAAATATTATTTCAGAACATACCGTGCTATATATACTGCATAACATACAATATATAGAGCTATTGTAATGACATCACCCACTCTTTGAGCCAAAAAGTGGGTGGGGGGGAGGGTAGGGGAAGAGCATAAATGAAAGGAGGAGGAGGAAATTTTTTTAAAAGAATTCCACCTCTTCCAATGTTCTTAAAAGTAGAATATAGATCATGTTTTCAATAACATTCTACAACACACAGGAAGCAAAAGAAATAATTTAAAAAGTAACAAAAGAAGAACAATTTAAGAATTTGTAAAACCTATCTGCAAAGGTGGTAAAATTTTAGAAAATCCTCACATCCATTTACTACATATTTTTTGGGAAAGGCATCAACAGCTTTGTGCTCCATTACAGAATTCATAATTTTCCAAAAACCTGAGTTATGTCTCTAGTGTCAGAGATTGTTCTGTTTGCCAAACCCTGACTCAGTTCCTTCCTGAGCACATGACTAAACTACATTTCCCAAAATCCCTTACTTCAGATGGGGCCATGTGACTGAGTTGGTCAATAGACTATTGTGAAAATGATTGTGGTTATTTCCAAATGCGTTTTCTACAAAGTGCTTCTGTTCCATTCTTCCTTTGCCTGTCAGCAGGTGGTAAAGGATCCAGTGGGAGACTCTGGGAGCAGAGAGGGTAGTGAGCAAGGAGCTGGCTTCCTGAATGTCTATGTAGAGTGGCCCTTTGCCATCTTTCTTGGACTTTGATATAGATGATAAATAAACAGTTATTGTCTCAAATAGCTAAGATTGTTTATAATAGTATTTAGCCTGTCCTAAAGAATATGATCAATTTACCTGTCCAGTTTTCTACAAAGTTGCTAAATTTTAGTGGGAATGGATCATCTACAGATTAAATTCTGCTCTAAACGGCCTCTGATAAATTCTTTCATGCTAGCAAAGATGAAGAACATTCCCCACGGTGTTTAAAATAAAATTGCAACAGTATTGAACTACTTATAATTACAAAGTTCAGAATGCCAAAATGTTATCGTTTCAAGATACAGCCTTGTGCTATGGGCTTTCTCATATATTCTTTCATTTAATTTCAGGATGTTTCTGGAGAGCCAAATATTACATATGACAATGAAGCAGGATAGACTTCCAGGAAAGAAAGATATAACCTAGTCGTGGATGAGTAGGACGGCTGGGTGTTCAGAATTATGACTTTTTATACTACACAATGCTTTCTAGTGCAGCATCAGAAAAAAATTATGAGTGGGAGAAAAGTGAGCCAATCAAATAATACCAGCCATTATATTGTAGTATCAGAAATGTTGTTTATAATGGTATGGTATTCATAACAGCATGCCTTTGGGACCTACTGAGAGCTCCCTCTGCTGGCTCAATATTTACTAATTCCATTTTTGCTGATGGCATTGAGTTCTCCAGGATATATATAGCACACAGGTTCTATGCCCACCCATAAAGGTCTATTACACACATACACATGAGACATGCAAACTCTGAAGACACTTGCCAAATTCCAAATAAGCCTGTGCGTGGGCCTCAAGGCTGCGTGTTAGCATCTTTCCTTCTCATAGGTCAGCTTGAAAGTTAACTTTCTTTCTGATACAGTTTTAATTAGAGGAAGAAAACAATGTAAAGAAATCTTGGTTCAGCTATAGTCAGCTATAAGTTGTGCAAACCTAAATAACGAAAGACTAAAAACGCAAGCTCTATGAGGAAGTTATCTTAATGTGATTCTATTAATAACACAAACTAGAATTAGAGCTTACAGCTGGAGCAAAAAATGATAATAAGAGAGAGAGAGCAAGCAGAGGTCAATTTCATATACAGAATATTCTCTTAAATTAATCTTATAATTTTTTCTGCAAATATAGATTGATAGACAAAAGCTCTCAGGTGGAAATTATACTACTAGAACTTTGAGTTGGTGCTGAAGTCCACTAGGATTTTGGGCTCACCATCATCAATGATTAGAATGAATAAAACAGCTTGTATTCTTGAATTCTCACTGGATAAAAACAAATTAATTAATCAATTTTTCCACTAACTTATCCAAAAAATTATTTATATAATAATTTTATGTACCAAAATATATAAAGTGCTAACTTTAAAATACAAATTAGAGAATTAAGAAAATGAAAAATGAGGATCTAGAGACTTAAGAGAATTAGTGACATGGAAGGCTGATTGATGCTAACCCTCAATAAACAAAAAATTGTTATAATACTGAAAAGTAATGATGCAGTTTAATTGTCTTTAAAGCAAACTTTGATAATTAAGTTCTGATACCGAGGCTCATCTCATGAGTTCATAGCAGCTCAAAATATAATTCATGGTGTTACAACTTATTTTAGGAAAAATTGTCACACTTACATGGTACACCTATGGTTATTTTTTGATATGCACTGATATTAACTTATCATAAAAATTATGAACTCTATGAGTGTCTAGACCAAGTAATAGGTGTGGCACATTTTCTTACTATTTGCTTTGTCTTATATGTTGGTTATGCGTTTTCCACTATTTGAGGTTATTGATCATTGTATAGGTTTAAAATGTTGACATATGTTATTACTTTTGGAATCAAATCAGTATCACCCTCATTTCCTCATGATGGCACACTTGTATCATATTCTCCCTGAAATGGCTTTAGAAAATATCTGAAAACCATAGCAGAAAAAGAAGGTTGTTTTCTTCTTCTTTGAGTAACTTAGTTATATAAAATAGATTGAAAAATATTCTGTAGCCTGCACTTTCTTCCAATATGCTCCGAGTGCACTTCAGAGTATATAGTTAAACTCTGAAGGTTTGAATTTTATCCAAGCACATTTAAATTGGGATTGTTTAGTCAAAGTCTCTTCAGTAGAGCTACCTTTTGTTCAGTTGGTACTGGGAATTGGACCAACCGCCTGTCTTTTAAAGTATGTACAAGTAGATGGGTAATTTTTTAAGCTTTGTTATTGGAACATTCATCTTCAATTAAAATCAAACAAAATGAGAAAAGTGTAACAAGTAATAGAAGAGTGAAGTGTAGCAAATAGTAACAACACATTTTAGGAACTAATCGTACTCACAGTCAGTTTTAAAACTGATGATAAACCATACCAAAAAATGTTCAATTCATATTTTCTGTTTAATTTTTCAAAAATAAATTATAGGTTGCAGTTATCTAAATTCAATAGTTTCCACTCATCTGCAGAGGATACTTTCCAAGACCTGCAGTGTTTGCCTGAAACCACAGATAGTTCTGAATCCTATTCATAAGAATACTTCAAAAAGCTCATGGAAAGATTCATAGTATCTTTTAATTTAATTTTTCCTTGAACTTCAGTTTTTAATTGTACACGTCAATGGGGTACAGTTTGTTGTTCCAGTACTTGCATATATTGTGTAATGATCCAGTCAGAATAGTTAGTATATCCATCATCTAAACATTTATCATTTCTTTGTCATTGTAACATTCAAGATCCTCTTTTCTGGTTATCTTGAAATATACAATATAGTATTATTAGCTATTATTGCTCCAGAGCACCAGAACTTATTCTTCCTATCTAAGTGTAGCTTTGTACAAGTCTAACAGCTTCTCTCCCTCTCCCGCTCCAACTTCCCTTCCCCTGCCTGCGGTAGCTACTATTTACTAACAGCTTCTCTCCCTCTCCCGCTCCAACTTCCCTTCCCCTGCCTGCGGTAGCTACTATTCTACTCTCTCTCTCTTTTTTCTCTTTTTAATCATTTAATTATTTATTATTACAGCTGGCCTGCATGGGGATCCAAACCTTGGACCTTGGTGTCATAACACTGTGCTCTAACCAACTGAGCTAACTAGCAAGCGATTTTTCTTTACTGACTTATGAGAATTGTATATATTTATGGAGTAGAATATGATGTTTGGGTACATTCATGATGTGTGCACTGATCATATCAGGGCACTTAGTATATCCATTACCTTAGACATGAACTTTTTGAAGTACTCTTGTATATTGTTTTTCCTTATACCTATATATCTATGATAAAGTATAATTTAAAAATTAGGCACGGTAAGAGAAAAACAATAACTAATGATAAACTAGAACAATTATTATTATTATTATTATTTTATTAGACTTACAGGAATTGCTGGCAGCAGCTGGCCAGCTGGAAATCTGTACCATCATGCAGTACATACAATAGTTACATGGTGAACAGATCAAAGTAGAGATGTAAATCATTTGCATGCTTATTCACAGAAACTAACAATTCAGAGGGCTCAGGAGATCCAGCTGAGTAGATAATTTTTTTTTAAAAATTTTATTTTGTCAATATACATTGTGGTTGATTATTGTTGCCCCTTACCAAAACCTCCCTCCCTCCTCCCTCTCCTCCCTCCCACCCAACAATGTCCTTTCTGTTTGCTTAGAACAATTATAATAATACTCAGAATGGTGCATAATTTGAAACTTATGAATGGTTTATTTTGGGAATTTTTCATTTAATATTTTCAAACTGCAGTTGATCGCAGGTAACTGAAACTATAGAGAATGAAACCACAAATAAGGGTGGACCACTGTACTTCACATTGCTTACTAATCTACATTTATAATTATGTGGTAGTCCTCTTATATATGTTACTCATAAAAATAAACTACCCATTTAGATGCTGTTTTCTAGTAAACGTTGCTAAATGGAACCCAGCTATAAAATGAAGAAAAAGCCAAAGAGTTAATATGTTTAAATCACTTAGAGCCATGTTTGGTGTACGGTACTTGGCGCTTAAGTACTGCTTAAGTAGTACCTGGTACTGCTTAAGTGTTAAGTAATAATAATAATAATAATGATAATAAAGTATTATTATTAATACTCAGAGCAGATGCCAAAATATACAAATAAAATATGGGTGTTTTATTCAAGAGACATTAAATTATTATTCATAAGTGATTTACAGTATTCACAGAAATATAAGAGCCAAATAAAAGCAAGAAATTTAAGAATGGTGCTCATTGAGTTAGTTACTGTTACAATGGCACCCCCCCAGATATTATATAATACAATAGTAAAAAGCATTAGTAAGAAGTGAGAATATATAAGTGAGAAGTGTAATTCATAATAATTTGGAGTAGTTTAATACAGAAAAGGGATGAAAAGTAATGTCCTCTTTCTCCATATTCATGACAGACATTATATTATTATTATTATTATTTTCCCTTTTTTGGTGACCGGTTAGGGTATCGCAACCCTTGGCTTGGTGTCGCCCACACCGCGCTCAGCCAGTGAGCGCACCGGCCATTCCTATATAGGATCTGAACCCGCAACGGGAGAACGCTACTGCGCTCCCAGCGCCACACTCTCCTGAGTGAGCCACAGGGTTGGCCCATGACAGACATTGTAAATCACAGCATCCTTTTCATAGTCATCAATGGAATTCTGTTTAATTAATTAGTATGTTTAATATTATGTAATAAAGTTTAGAGAAATATTGACACAATTACTTTTTAGATTTTGTATTAAATTGCAAGCATAGATATTGGAACTGCTCATTCTTTAGTTGTTTTGGGTATCTGAGGGTTGTGTGTATAGCGAGAGAAGATGAAAAGGACAAGTGGAGAGAAAGGAGGAGTCACCTTACCACAAGTTTTATTGTCTTCATCTGAACCATCTGGGCAGTTTAACTCTCCATCACAAAATAAATCAACTGCTATGCAGTTTAGAGCATCAGCACAAGGCATTGAACCAGGCAGACATTCTACAGAGTCATTTCCTTTAAAAAAAAAAATTGAAATTATGAGCTCCCTGCACAGTAGATTTAATTTCCGATTGGTGTGATATGTAGAATATTTAAATATTTTATTCTGTATTTTTTGTCATTTAGGTCTTTACTTCTAAGTATATACTTCAGTTACCAATAGAAATATTTATTTTATTTGATGAATTAATAATTTGTAAAAATATAGAATTTTAAAATTTGAAAACAATTTCTTCATAGGTGTTAAATATGTTTACTTTGGTGATTTTAACCTTGAGAAATTAATACTACAGATTAACATTTAGTCCTTAATATTTACACCTTTTGGCACTGTTGTTGTGTGGGGCAATTTATTGGAAAGTTAATGGCATCATTTGCAGGATCTAGTAGTCACCTCCTTTACTCAAAAACTTATTATTTTAAAAGATAGTGGCTTAATTAAAGGTTCGCATTCTGAAGAGTAAAATTTACCAACAAAAGCCATCTTGAAGTAATATAAAATACTTAAAATTCCCAGTGCATTGCTACATTGAATAGTGAAGAAAACTGATGGCTGTTTCCATTCAATAACTCTTTGCTTCTTGGGTCAGAGATTCTTAGGGGTAAGATGCAAACACACTCCTCGTAGGGTTTTATATTATACTCTGGCCAGCATCTGATCAATTTTTACCTCTTAGTCTATCTATCCTTTACCTGCCCCTCTTCCACATACGTAAGTAATAGAGATGCACCAAGGAACACATTTCACTTCTAGAAATTAACTTGGACATTTTAAGTGCAATTCTAAAAATAAAAAGGAAGATATACAAGTGGCCAGAAGACACATGAAAAAATGCTTAACGTCACTCAGCATCAGGGAAATGCAAATCAAAACCACAATGAAATATCATCTCACCCCATTTTGACTGGCTAATATAAAAAAGATAGAAAATAACAAATTCCAAAGAGAATGCAGAGAAAGAGGAACTCTCCTGCACTGTTGGTGAGACTGTAATTTGGTGCAGCCATTATGGAAAATGGTATGGAGTTTCCTCAAAGAACTACAGATAGAACTACCATACAATCCAGCAGTGGAACTGCTGGATATATACCCAAAGGATTAGAAATCATTATGTCAAAGGTATACCTGCACTCCCATGTTTATTGCAGCTCTATTTACAATAGGCAAGAGTTGGAACCACCCTAAATGGCCATCATCAGATGACTGGATAAGGAAAATGTGGTATATATACACAACGGAATATTACTCTGCCATAAAAAAGAATGAAATTCTGCCATTCACAGCAACATGGATGAACTTAGAGAAAATCATGTTATGTGAAATAAGGCAGGAACAGAAAGAGAAATACCACATGAGGGGTAAGGAAGGAATTGGTAAAGGTCCACAGAAAATGATTACATGGTATAATGTTCAATATACTAATTACCCTGATTTGAGCATCACATATTGCACACAGATACTGATATTCAACTCTGTACCCCACAGATATGTAAAATTGACCATGTTACAATAAAAAAAAAATTCTTATATGTGCACAACAGAAAGATGTGTTTTTATTTTTCAAAATAATGTGGGAATTTGAATTTTTTGTCTGGCTAGAATAACAATAATGATTTAAAGTTTTTGAAATATCTAACGCAATAGCAATGGAATTTTTTTGCTGTTGTTATTTTTAATCTTTAAACCAGCACTGTACTGCCATCTGCTGGGTTTTAAAAATATGAAATTCTGAAATTTCTCCTTATACTTCATAAAGTTATTTGGGAAAATAAAAGTGTCTGTATCAATGAATCTGTTAAGATAATACTTAATTGAAAACATTTATGGACAGGGCCATTGATTAAATATACAACTAAATTAGATTTTTGTAACTGGCTCTAATGAAAATTGATAAAAACCTTTGGGAAATTCATGGAACCCCTAACATCTAAAAGAGGGCATAATAAAGGTTAGAGCAATTCCCAAATGACAGGATGCCTCCATTTAAGAGAATAAAAATGTCGATAAAAATGTTATTTAATAAACTCAAATGCATATTTTAATTGTTGATAAAAGAACTATTCATTGATAGTTTCTAATTATTGAGTCCCTAATCCAGAAAAAGGTACAATGTTTGATAGTATTCATAATGCTTGATAAACAAACAAACAAACAAACAAAAAAAGCACTGTACTTGCAATTCTGTTTTATTTTAACAATAGCTAATAGAATTCTAAGTATTCTGCATTTGAATACTAGAGTTTGGGCTACAGCTAGGAAGGTACATAATTTTGGTGTCCTAACGTTTCTCATGAGAGCTTCACTTCCTGATGCATCAAATCTCTGTCCATTGTCTATTGAATATGAGATTGAACCTCAAAACCACACTGGCAAGTGACACTACTTGGGATCATTTGATCTCTTCAATGATCATTCATTCACTCCACAAGGACTTACTGTCTTTTTTTGAATATGAGATTGAACCTCAAAACCACACTGGCAAGTGACACTACTTGGGATCATTTGATCTCATCAATGATCATTCATTCACTCCACAAGGACTTACTGTCTTTTTTTTTGTGTGTCATGGAATTTTAAGGGATGGAGATAAAAGGGTGAGTAAGACACAGCCTTTCTTCTCATGGAGCTGGGAATTTAGTGGGGGACTGGTTCATGAACTAATTGTTTTTTAAAGAGAGGTAGGAAAAAGTGCTATGGGAATACCAACGAGCAGGAAATTAGTTTCCTTTTGGGGCAGGAATTAAATAAATATATCTTTACTGAAGGGATCATCTTTAAACTAAGTTTGGAAGGATGCTTAGAAATGTACCAGGAAGACAGCTATGTGGACTGTATGTGGCGATGTGACAGGAGCACATCAGTATGTACAAAACAGACGAGTCTAATTTATCCAAATGGCAGGATGTTTGTGGAAGCCAGAGAAGGAAAGCAGTTTGCTTCCACATTCTGGGGACCTTTTTAATCATTGTTAAATGTTAAAAATACTTTTCTATAAGCAATGACATTAAAAGTTTTACGTACATCTGTGATGCAACCAGTCCACATTCCAAAAGGCAATTTAGGGACCATATGGAGAATCACATGGAAACAGGAGACCGATTGAGAGAAACAGGTGAAAGTTGGTGGGGGCTAGAACTCTTGCACTGGGAGAGGAGATGGAGCACGTACCATTTTTTTTTTGTTTATTTTTTAAGTTTTATTTTATTTTTAATTGACAATAATTGTATATATTTATGGGGTACAATACGATGTTCTGATACATGTATACATTGCGGAATGATCAAATCAGGTGAATTAGCATATCCACTACTTCAAATGTTTATCATTTCTTTATTGTGAGAGGATTTAAAATCCTCTCTTAGTTATTTTGAAATACACAACACATTATTATTAACTACAGTTACCATGCTATGCAATAGAACCACAGGACCTATTCCTTTCATCTAACTGTAACTTTGTACCTTCTGACCAATCTCCCCTCTTTCCTCACTCCACCCCGCCCAGCCTCTGGAGCCATCATTCTATTAAGTCTGTTTTTTGAGATTCCACATATAAGTGAGACTACACAATATTTGTGGACTCAGTTTTTACAGGTAGAATTGAGGAACTTCAGCGACTGGACACCTTCCCAACCAAGATCACAGGAGGTAGAAAAGCAGGTGCTAAGGAGGGAGAAGTTGAATTACTAATGATCATTTGTCACAATAATGATTATAAGAGAAACAGATGTTGCGATTAGAAAATGAGTCTAATTTGAAGGTGGACATATTAGGTACACTTCTTTAGGATGTACTCTCTCTCTCCATGCTGTTTCATTTGCCTTGGTGCATGTAGAAAGAGAAGATTCTCATATTGAAACTAATATGGAAAATAGGAATCTAATTGTTTTACAAGGGTAGTAAGTTTTAGGATTTTGTCAAATTGTATTTTTACCTGGTCTTCTCTCTCCCTCTCATTTCCTTACATATGCATGCATGATTACAGTTTCTGACAAAACCATTGATTAAAATATTAACTGTAACGGAAATTTGCCAGATGCCAGTTGTCTTTAAAGACCTCATATTCTTAGAACTAGAGTTCTTTTACTTGTGTACTACTTGGTTTGTATTTCATTCCTTTATTTTTCCCCTAGTATTCTTACTTTTCTAAGAATGCTTCCAAACCGTGCTTCTCAAAAGGGAATTTTTAGGAGAAGAATTAATGAATTCTAGTTGAAGACATTTGCACAAGAGAGTAAAAATTGGCTCGGTTTACTAGAAGCAAATAAAATTTCCTGAATATTAAGTACTGTTACCTTGAGTGCGAAAAATACTTTCACAAGTTTTTATATCTACCTGGTATTTTATCTTTAGGATACCAATTTTTTGCATATTATGAAAACACACCAGTATAAGTATTACTCATATTTGGAATTCTGCAAATACGAGGGTTTTTTGTTTTTTTTTTTGGTCTTTTTCGTGACCGGTAAGGGGATTGCAACCCTTGGTGTGGTGTCGCCTGCACCGCGCTCAGCCAGTGAGCGCACCGGCCATCCCCTATATAGGATCCGAACCCGCGGCGGGAGCGTGGCTGCACTCCCAGCGCTGCACTCTCCCGAGTGCGCCAGGGGGTCGGCCCCAAATACAAGGTTTTAATTATCCATTTATATTTGTATCATAAAGGGTTCAATATAAACTCGAATGTGATTACTTCAGAGTGATCCAAAGTAAAAATTATTTCCAGTGAACTGGGACAGGGGACTACTGTGCCTACTTTGTGCAGGCCCTGTGCTAGGCATTTTGGAGGAAAAAAAGACTAAAATCAATCATTTTTCTTCCAAACTAGTGACAAAAAAATGTTGCATGCAAGATAATAAATTAAAAATCATAGTTTGGAAATCTTTGATTTTTATTTTCCGTATCATTTAAGTGAGGGTAATTGTACTTGGTGGCCAAAGTTGTTTAAGATCCTGATAGTTTACTTAGTAGTGGAAGTAGAAGCTGAATCTGTGGATTTCTGCCTTTAGAGACCAATTTCATTTCACAACACTGTACTGGAAAATAGAAATCATCTCACAGAAATTCCCATTTACTTTGATAGAATGAATCTAGTCTTTTTAGCTAGACTATGGCTTTTCAATTCAAATGAAATTGCAGTGGAAAGATACTTTGATAGTCTTAATATCATGTCTGTAGGAATGTCTCAAATTAGAGGAGAGTGCTCAGCAATGTATAAATGCTGTTTTCTCCAATGCAAGGAAGAAAAAATATCCTTAAAGTCATGATGTATTTGGTATCAGTTAAAGTCTCTGCATCTCAGTCCTGGAGCAATTAAATCAAGGAGCATAACTCTGTCTTAAGTTCTTTTGGCCCAATTTCATTTTCTTCACTAAATCAACCAATTATTCTTTTTCTTCAGTCCCCAAACTCTTCCATATAATGGAATCATAGCAAGATTGCATTTTATATGAGATTGAGAAAGCCCATGATAGTGAAACTTTTGCTTTTCTGCAACCCTTGCTTACACAGTAAGCAACAGAGAACTAGAACAAGCTGAAGTCTAGCAACCCCTGAAGCATATGAGCAATTGCCCAAAACAGCCCTTCTAGGCACTCTGCAGCAGCCAAGAAATCAATCTGCATAATGAGATCTTAGTTCCCATTTCTCTCCTCTAGTGTTTCAAATGGGTTAGTAAAACTTTACGGTTATTGACAACAAAGGCAGTTGAACAATGGGACATAATCCTCATGGACTTTGTAACTCTTATCACACAGAAATTCTCTTCGGCAAAATTTATAATAGTACTAATGCCAGGTATATGATGCATGCATTTGTTGATTTTTCTCAAACTCTGCCTTCCAGGCATATAAAAATGGGAATAAACTCAACATCCCTGAAAGGCATATTCATAATAAATTACTGCTTGGAAACTGCGGTTTTCAAGTTTAATTGCCTCATCAAACTCTGCCTTCCAGGCATATAAAAATGGGAATAAACTCAACATCCCTGAAAGGCATATGCATAATAAATTACTGCTTGGAAACTGCGGTTTTCAAGTTTAATTGCCTCGTTCCCCTCTATAAATCTATAGTATCTTGACATATGAGAAGAATAAAAGGAAAAGGACTATTGGGAACTCACATAATACCTGGATTTAGTACAAAAGGGAATATAATATTTTGCCACCTACTCACCTTATGATAATTCTTTGAGGATTGATTAAAGTAATTCAGTATAGTCTCCAATAGCAGGGAATGTTTGAAAATGGGTTATTTTGCTTAAATAAATGATCAGATTAAAATGAGCATTACCAAGTATAATCATCTTGTTTTAAACTTGATTTTTGGAACAAATTTCTCAAAATATACTAAAATTGTTTTTTCAGTTTATTTTTGGACTAAAGGAATTAGCCATTATTAACCCTAAAGGCCTAAATGTGTTGAAGGGTGATTTTAGATCCTGTAAATATTTTTTCACATTGGAGAAGAGAATGTGGGCTCAATGACAGTTTTTTCAATAGAGGTATATGATTACAACTTAAATACAACTTTAGGCAGGCTTATTCCGCCATAATAAATCTCTATGTGTTTTAGAACTGTGATGGCTTGTTTCATAAAGCATTTTGATTAATGATTCATGTATTGCTTTGCTTTTCAAACATCATGCTAACCAGTTTATGTAAGAAATGTTAATTCTTACTAAGAAAGGGATATAGTTTCTCACATGTCCTTTCCTTGTATTTATATGACATTTGATGTAAATTTTAATAACATAAAAATGGCAATATTATTGTTGAGGAGATGACTGAATGTCTACATGACATTGCCTTTATTAAGTTCACTTGAAGTGATTAGGGGCACACTCAGGCTGTTTAACATGAAGATTAAGTTAGGACCAGAGAGGTTATTTTAGTTGACTGGCAGATAGACAAAAGCACAGTAGACAATTACTAGGAATCCAGAGAAACTGGCACATCAAAGATACACAGTAGGAGTTGGCACAAAGTAGACACAATAAAAATCTTGTTGAATGAATGAATCCAAGGCTACTTTGGCACTGGTTTGGCCACCAGTACCACGTTAACAGGGGAGAAACAGCATGTTTAATTTGTATGTAGAGAGACTAATCAAAGGCAAAATTCCCTAAGATCTAATGAAAAATGTATCCTTTCTGGAAAACATTTTGATCCTCTTAGTGGTGTTCTTAGCAATAGATAATAACCACCGTTCTAACAGGCTGGATTGAGGTCAGATAAGCTAGGCATTACCTCCAATGTATTGTTTACTTTAGTGAAATCTTAGGCTAAGACTGTAAACTTTTATGCTTCAGTTTTATTATCTATAAAATGAGGAATAATATCTAGTGTTCTATGCATGGTAGGTTGACCATAATTAACTTTAACTATATGGTTTCAATTAGCTAGACGAGAGGATTTTGAATGTCCCAACACAAAGAAATGATAATCGTTTGAGGTAATGAAGAAAAAAAAAAACAAACTAGTGGTTGCCAGAGTTTTAGGGGGGATGGAGGGATGAACAGGTGGAGCACAGAAGAGTTTTAGGGCATCACAACTACTCTGTATGATACTATACTGGTGAATACATGAAATTATGCATTTGACAATACCCATAGAGCTATACAAAACAAAAAGGGAACCTTAATATAAAATTGAGTTAATAATAATATATCGATATTGGTTCATAATTGTAACAAATGTATCACACTAGTATAGCATGTTAATAATAGGAGAAACTGTGTATATGTGTGGGGGGAGGGTATGGGAACAATCTGTACTTTCTGCTTAATATCTCTGTAGAACTATAACTGCTATAAAAATAAAGTCTATTACTTAGGGGAAAATTATTGAAATATAGCCAAGATAAACAAACAAACAAATAAATGAATTCCAGGAAAATAATAGCAGTAATATTAAACAGCTGTGCCATTAGAGAATTCTCAGGAACTTAAAGTAAAACATAAGCAAAAACTTTTAAAAAATATATAGAAATAATATTATTAAAACTGACCTGGAGTCGTCAAAGGCCTGCTGGTCGTTAGCTTGTCTGTAGAGATAAATGGCATTAATTCTCAGGAACTTAAAGTAAAACATAAGCAAAAACTTTTAAAAAATATATAGAAATAATATTGTTAAAACTGACCTGGAGTCGTCAAAGGCCTGCTGGTCGTTAGTTTGTCTGTAGAGATAAATGGCATTACAATAATGATTACATATTTTAAACGGATTGTTAGGAATTTATTGTATTTTCCTTCTGTTTAATATTTAATGTAATAATTTTTAAGGTGTTGTGAATTATTAGTATCTATTTATTTAGGAATATATCATTTGTATTTGGTTCTAGGAATGAATCTTTTTGTTTTCAGTGATTTGTAGAATTGTAGAGTCAAGAGAAATGAAAACATATGTCCACACAAAAACTTACATATATATGTTCATAGTAGGATTAGTCACAATAGATAAAAAGTGAAAACCTAAACATCCATCAACTAATGAACGAATAAACAAAATGCTTATGAATAAATAAAATATTTTGTGTAATGGAATATTTTTGGAAATAAAAGGTATAAAGTACTGATACATAGTACAACATGGATGAACCTTGAAAACATTGTGCCAAATGAAAGAAGTTGGTCACAAAAAAAATGCATCCAATGTGGTACCATTTATTTGAAATTTCCAGAATGTGCAAATCTACAGAGAGGAAGTACACTAGTGATCACCTTAGAGCTGTGGGAAATAGGATGTTAATGCTAAAGGCTTCCTTAAGGGGTGACGAATTCTGTAAATATATTAAAATCATTGAGTTGTATACTTTAAATGGATGAATTGTATGTCATATTAATTATACCTCAATAAAGCTGTTAAAAAAATGAATTGCAGACTGAAGGTTTTTAGATTTTTAATAAATCTTTTATTTTTGAAGTACAGAACAGGATGTTATTCAATGAGCAATAACTAACTATGAGGATTCATTAATTTTATACTGGCTGTAGACTTAAGTATCCTAGGTTAATCTGATGCTATTTGAAATAGAAGCATTGGAAATGCCTATACCACAGGCTTTAGAAACAAAAGGAATTGCTTTTGATTCCTGAGTTTGACACTTAATATGTGACTCTAGGCAAGATACTTATTCCTTAATTAATTTCTTCTTAACTGGAAAAGATATAATCTCTTTAAGGGATCATACTGAGAATTAAGTGAGATAATGTTGGCAAAATATAGTACGTGACCCAAGTGGGTACTTTTTTAAAAAATGTAGCTCTTTCAAACATTATGAAAATAGTCATGATTATGGATAATACCAAAAGTAATATTTTTATAGTTTTATAACAATTCACATTTATGAAATTATTTATATGTAAAATCGATAATTGAAATGACTTCTGAAATACTCAGAAAAATTTATTATTCATGATTTATGGGAAGAAGGTTTTCATGGGGGTAAAGGGTTGTGCCCTGTGATTCTGTAGTTGGCAGAACTAGTATCAGTGTTCAAATCTTCTGGCTTAACTTTAATGCTTTTTCTACAACAGAATAATTTTACATTTTAAGATAATTCAGGTTAATTTTAAAAATTATTGATAAATTTCCAAAGAAACTCTTTCAATAATGGTGTGATCTTGAAAAGGCAAAGTGAAGTTCTAAATTTTATGTGAAGCAATGATCAATTTTATTTAGAAATATGGGGTAAAGAAAATACTGGAATAGAGTAGTTAACATTAAGCCTTGGAAACAACTTTCCTAAGAGGGTAATACATTTTGAAAGCCATCATTTGAACACCTTTTTCACATGTCATTTATATATACATATTCATATGTATGTAAATAAATTTTAAAATATGAAAGAAACCTTAAAATCAAATATGTATATCCTTGACATATGTAACTAGGTGTTATAAACTCTGTAATATTGCAAACTACATGATTTGTAACTAAATGTGTGCTTCTTGCATTTTAATATGAATACTGAATGTCTCAGAAAGAGATAGAAGAAAAAATGTACCCTTTCCTAATGTCACAGAGTTTGATGATCAACAAGTTATATCTAAAAAAATGCTATAAGTACTGACCTGAAGTTGTTGCAGAGCTAACTGTGGGGAAATTCTCTGAAGATGCTGGAAGAAAGTAAAGTTAATTTGACATTTGGGCTTATAAATATATTTCTTACAGGCATCGAATACAATTTGAATATTCATTCAAATGGCATCTGATTTTTTTTTTTTTCTTTTTGTCTTTCTTCGTGACCAGCAACAGATCGCAACCCTCAGTGTCGCACCCGTACCGGACCGGGACCGGCAACGGGATCGCAACCCTCGGTGTTGCGCCTGCCCCTTGCTCAGCCAGTGAGCAGCCGGTCTGTATGTGGGATCCGAACCCTCGGCGGCAGCCGCCGCGCTCCCAAGCGTCGCACTGTAGCAGTGCACCACCGGGCCGGCCCCAGCATCTGATTCTTTAGAGCTCCTGTTTTATCCTCTCTCGTGCTGACTGTTCCAATTCATTATTTGTTTGTGATATATTTTATAAATTTCCAATATATGCATATTCTTTCTATACAATTTACTTTTGCAAAAAGTTTGCTTTTTTTGTACCCATTTAAGAAACATATCTACTTATTTATTCTCTAATAACATAGAAGAATTTATATTTAAATCAACTAATGTAGTGTTTTATACCAGATCTTGGCATACCTAAAACCAAGGGTTTTGCACTGAACCGTATGGAAGACATCAGTAGCAAATAATCTTGTACATAATAGTATCTACTGGGAAATAAGTACTGTTTAAATATAAAGGACTTTTTACATAAAAGATAAAAACTGGCTATGTTCTTCAATTCTTAATATGCTTAATGGTTTTAAAACCACAGTGATTCAACTATACACAATATGAAGGAAACCTAAGCATATCTCATGGAAAACACTCAGCTAGTGAAATTTTTTTTATTCAAAACTTTATTGATGATGAGTGGGCTAAGTGATATGTTTTCTTCTGCTAACTAGGTTTATTTCAGGATTTTTTCATTTTGCATTGTCTTATTTCTACAAGATCTATGACAGTTTTGTTAAAGGTATATGGCATATTATTGATGAAGAAGATAACAGAATAAGATTTATAATATTTTTTCACAAAAAAGTATTTTAAATTTTATTTTATGTGATTTGATAGTATTCTATATAGTAATTCAAAGTGTTTATGAAATTCTTAACCAATTTTAAAATGTAATAAATATAAAACTCATGTGAAACAAACAAATATTAAACATAAAAACCTACAATTAAGCTTGGAGCCATGTTTATAAATGTATTTTAACTCAGCTCAACAAATTAAATATAACTTCAACTCACTGAGTATGTTGTTAAGTTGATGTGATAAAGTTTATTGCATGCATACTACTGATTCTAAGTTAACTCAAAGTATATGGTTTTTTTTTGTGTGTGTATGCATCAAGAGCAAAAGGATACATTGTTTTTGAATAAATATGTAATTTTTAAGACCATAAACTTCCCTCCCTCAAATAGTGATAAAGTTTATTGCATGCATACTACTGATTCTAAGTTAACTCAAAGTATATGGTTTTTTTGTGTGTGTGTATGCATCAAGAGCAAAGGATACATTGTTTTTGAATAAATATGTAATTTTTAAGACCATAAACTTCCCTCCCTCAAATAGCAAAATGGTGCAGTTGTAGGGAGTCATGAAAATAAGTTTCAGTATATCTGTCAATTCATTTGCCAGAACAGACCTCCATAAATCAATACACATTCAAATAAAGATAAAGGAAACCAACTTTTTTGAAAAAAATGACTATTAGAAAAATGAATAAACATTGTTTTATTACGAACAAACTCTAGTATAATGGTTAAGAGCATGGATATTAAGATCAGACAACTTAGGTAAAAATCCTTGATTCAACTCTAAGTAGTGATGTGATTTTAGGCAATTTACCCAAATTATCTGTGCTTTGGTCTTCTCATCTGTAAAGTGAAGGTAGTAAAGACATCATATAATAGGATTGATGAGGGGAATAACTGATAGGTAAACCACCTGTTCTAGCTAATAATAGCTAGTACTAGTTTTCAGCTCATCTAAATCAAAGACCCATAATATGCAGTCCCTGCTCCAGCAGCTGTGCCAGAGGGTAGAGAAGACACTAAACAGAAGCTATCTTCTCACTGAACAGGAGCTGCAGGACACAGCAGCAGACTTAATGAAAGAGGAAATTGTGTTTGATGAAACAATGCTGTAAAGAAAAGCAGCTAGAGTTCCAAAATTTCGTATCTACTATTATAAAATCAAAAAACAAAAGAAAACATAAATTTCTGTATGATTTTCTATATTTGCTTTAAAGGCAAACCTATATTGACTGATGTCATTATGTATCAAAACTATCTGAACTGACATTATTTTGTTCAGAGTTTGTCTTTATTCCACTTGGTGTGCACACACACATCTATCTATATAGATATAGATATAGATAGATATTATTTTGGATGTTAGCTTCCTAACATCCCCCAAATTCTGAATTCCAAACATATTTGGCCCCAAAGTTTACAGATAAGGAATTGTAGACCTGGATGAGACTGGCAAATTACTACTGTTCATGACCAAAATAAGCACACAGAGTAAATGTTTGTTGAACTGAATCAAATTGAGAATATCTAAAATGGAAAATTTGGAACAATTTAAGCAATGATTGGTATATTTTCCTACTGTTATTTTTGATGTCTCATGTCTTTTCTCCTTTGATTTATTATCATAAAAGTTTTAATTTTTATAGTCAAGTAACTGGGATGGATCAAACTCACTGATCCCTCCGTTTTCTTCTTCTCCTTTTAGCTTCCCAAGTCAAAATTGGACCTTTCCATTTGTCTGTGTTATCTAATAATGTCTATGACTCAATCAGAAATGATGAGTGTCACTTTCTGATAGAGAGTTCTAGAAAAGTGAGGGTGTGCTTGACCACTGCAAAGAATATGACAAGACCCACAAATATTTATGCACACCGATATTTTCAGAACCTTTTTGGATAGTTGATATTTTACAAACTTTTTCTCAGTGATATTTTTCTTCAAATATGGTTCCTTCATATTTTACTTTTCTTATGTAAATGTGTCACCTCAGGCAATAAGACAAGTTCCTAAAGTCAAGGATGATCCCCCTGCTTTCCTGGTATATTGCTAGGATTTTAATTTCATAGTTTAATGATTCAAAGAAATCAAATAATGTTCACAGATACCTGTGATATCAATGCTGTTCAAATCAATATGGAAAGTGACCAGTTGGCTGGATTTATTTGCTTCAATGCCTTGAATCAGTTCCTCTTTCACATTTTCATTTGATACCCACTGGGCAAAGAAAAGTTCAAATATGACTATAACGCTGCCATTTCTGCAAAGCAAAAGATGATATAGAAGGAAAAAGTCAGCTGTCTTCAAGTGATTTGTGCTCAATTCATGTAAAATATCTTTGAAATTCTCTGTTTATCACCTTGTTAATCCTCATAACACCTGGGTAAGGTAGGTTATGTCAAATATTATCTTTATTTCCCAGGTAGAAGACAAAGGAATCAAAAGACTAAATGCTTTTTCAAGAACACAAACAACAAAGTAGACCCACCATTGCAATCTGAGTTTTCTGAGTTCCATGTTAAAACACTAATTCTTAGGCCAGAATGTTCCCCACAGTCACTTGTGTCAAATTAACCCAAATCACATGGTGTCGTGTCATTTATTATGATTTTACTGTTTGAAGGAGTGAAGGGCATGGATTTGTAATTTTTCATGGATGATTTCTAAGGAGAGAGAATCTAAGGTACTTTCACTGGTTTCAAAGAAATTTTTCTGTATTGTTTAAGAAGGCCCGAGAGCAAGCGTATGGCAACTAATCTATGTCTACTTTTTCTTCTCTATCCTGCTTAATGCAGAATATAAAAATATACCTTGATTTTAAGGGATAGAAAAAGCAAGCATACCTGAGACTATTGGAGACCCAGAGGATATTCAGTTTCATGGCAAAGAGCTGGGTTTATTTTGCCAACATGATATCCCACCATAGCATTAGGATTTGAGCCTAATCGTCTTGCACTTTATTTTATCCCCTGCTCTGTAACATGCATTTTAAAAGGTGTTTTTTGTTTGTTTGTTTTTTAACTTAAGGAGAGACAGAAATGAATGAATTTTTGGCTAGTAGGGATACTTGAAAGATTTTTGCACTCCTGATTACATTTTTATCTGCCTCATGCTATCCTTTTAGGATACAATCACCTAGGAGACAAACTCTATCTCTGATCTTTATTCTGAACCCTTCAGCAAGCTGGGGGTACTCCGGGTGTACTTGCTTCCTTAAGAGGCAGACTAGGCAGAACCAAATTTTACAAATATGTTTGCTGGTTCTGAAATATAGGCGTTTATTCACATATTGTTATGATATCTGTAAACTGATGAGCTTCTCAAGGAACTTTGTCAACTCCCAAAGAGTTCTTATTTATCTGTCACCTATATATCCTCACAGAACCTAGAATAAATGCTTTTTTTTCCCCTCCATAACTGTATATAGGGCTAGAAAGTTCTTGGAAGACCACAGTAGATCGGCATCTCCACTAGGCAGGATATGAGTATTTCTTCTTAATGACCATGCCACTATTCAGGTTCACAGTTTAGCAGAAGTTACTCCTTTCCATGTAGCTGGTTTTTCATTTTTGAAATGAACAAGATACTCTGATATAGTAGTACTTCACATCTATTAAATAAATAATTTTAAAATATTAGAAGGTTTAACTTTCCAATCATTTGCTTAAATCACAGTAACCAAATCTTGTAAACAAGAAAGATTCCTAGTAACTATTTAGTTCAGGGTTCCCAAACTCACACATAATGAAATTGCTTACTGTCTTTCAGAATATGTTTTGTCACAGACACTGTTTTTATTTGTTTTATTTCTATTCTTCTACACTTAACTTTGCATGCTGGCAGATCCTTAATTTTATTAGAGAATAACTGTCTATTTTCTTAGGAAAGGTGACATCTTATTTAATCATTTGTTATATCAATCACAGTTTTATTCATGGACATATGGCAGGGCCCTCGTCGATGGAATCTGAGGGGAAGACTGATTCAAAATATCTGGAAAACTTTTCCAGATCTAATAAAAGAAAGGCTCATAGTGGAGTGCTACTCTTGTTTGTTGAATCTTACTACATTTATATAAAATTACTAACTGGCATACAATTCTTAGGCTTCATCCCATTTGATTTGAACAGAGGTTCCAGAAAAGGGTGATTATTCTATTTGTGCACCTGATGTTGGCCAACATTTTCTCTTGGCAATAAGGATACTTCTTAGGCTTCATCCCATTTGATTTGAACAGAGGTTCCAGAAAAGGGTGATTATTCTATTTTTGCACCTGATGTTGGCCAACATTTTCTCTTGGCAATAAGGATATTGAGGCTCAGAGTAATGTCAGTAACTTTGCCCAGGGTTAAACAGCTTATTAGTGTCACAGATAAGAATGAAACCTATGGCGTATGTCTGCCAGATGTGTTTTTATATAATCCTTCCACCCCAGCACCACTTTTATTAACTCTATTTTGAGCTGTTTGTCAGCAGGAGCGATATTACAGCACATTCACCTTAGAGGAAGGTCTAGGTTTTTCTTATCTTGCATTGTTACCAGAATTTTAGATCCAAACAGATGGAGAAAATAGCTAGTTGGATTTTTGTGGGGGAGGAAGGAAAGATATTTTATTCCCTTCATACTTTCAAAGAGACAGTCTTCCCTCTTCTTCTTCCTCTTTCTTTCCCTCCTTCTTATTCACATTATGTCTCCCCAGCCAACTTCACCCCCCAAACAGTTGAAGGGATAGGAATAAAAATGGTTAAAATAAAGTGAGAGTAAACAATATCCAGGATTTTTGTCAATCAGACATTTTCACCTTATCCTTCACTGCACACTAGGTAATTTTAATCCCAAATAAATTTGATTTTTCTTTATGTAATTGCTACATGTTTAATATGACTAAACACTTGCTTTTATGAGAGGCAAGATATTTCTGGCAGAGAAAGTACAAATCTAGAATTTTTCTTCACTGGGTTGAAAGTAACTGGATTAGTTCATCCTCAGGCATAAAACATCTTTATATGAAAGATGTGTTCTCTTAGATATGAATTATATATTGCATTTAATAATTTATACTTTACAAGAGTAGGAGTTATATATCTTATATTCACATACAGTTGTATTCTTTAAAATTAATTTTCTTACTCAGTGTAAATGTTGAGATAAGAGAGATACATAGTAGAAATCAAGAAAACCATAATAAACATTTGTATTTTACCCATAAGAAAGGTGATATTTTAGCAATTTAGTAATGATCTTTATTAGTGCTGTGAGATTGAATTTATTTATTAAGGTAAATAAGAATTCTTTCTTTAAGAAAAAACATAAAAAAGAAACAATGGTCATTTTCATTTCAAAGTACTTGCTACAGTAGAATATCTGAGTCCTTTTTTAAAAAGCAGATAAATCCTATCACTAATACAGAAAGCCTGTGTGTAATAAATCAAAATGTTTCTTTTCTCATATTTTCCTTAATGATATTGATAACTTTTAGGGCTGCTGAGTAAATAAGTCTTTTCTTTTTTGACTTTGTGACTTATTTGTACTCAAAGGGCAAAATAAGCTACATATTGCCACAGAGGGTAAAGAGGAGTTTATTAAAAGAATTAACTTCTAAATGCTCTCTGAGTCAAAGCACTTTTTACAAAGCAGGTAACAGAAAGTATTCCCAAAAGGGGAGAAATCATGAAATCATTTGCTTATCCTTCAGTGACTTCACACACACACACACACACACACACACACACACACACACACACAATCACACAAGGTAGCAGGTGACAGTGGTTGGCATTAAGTATTTGTACAAGTAAGAGGAAATAGGTTAATAAATGAGTTTGGTATTCTCAGTGCTATAATTAGACGATATGCACACACGCATGCGACCTAAGTTTAATTAAAGTCAATAAGAAAAAAGAAAATAAGTATTTTAAAGGATTTTTAGATTTTTTACAGTTAGTGTGGATATTGGTAGTTAGACAAGAACTCAGTTATTTTTGTTCCTTGGTTTTATCAATTGGATTTCAAAATTAAAATAATTTATAAAGCTAATCACAAGTCTGCCATTTTTTCCTGTAAGTGGAGGATTTCTATTTGTATGTGATTATTTAAAGTAATTCTAAATGTTTCCTTGTTACATCATCTGAATTTCTTTTTCTATCCTCTCCTTTCCAAAGCACCAACCTGTAATTTATCTTACAGACATTTTCAGGAAATTCTGTTACATTGTGTTTTTCAAAAACTCACTTCTGGTTTAAAGGTAGTTCAGCTGCTGCCACAGAGAATATCTCTACAAAGTACATTATTTGAGAATCACTATAAAATATTCATCAAGGTTTGGGCACGATACTGCCCTCCTAGGTAGCTCTAACGGAAAGGAAAGAAAGAATTTTTCAGCTCAAATAATTTACAGTTTTGCATATAGTGATGTTAGCTTCTAGGGAAATAAAAGACCACTTATGAAATATTAAAGAAAATGCTGGAGTTTTGATAGCCCACCAGGACTACATGTAAAAGTCTATATTCAGTAAATGTTCCCAATGTAGTAAAAATGAAGCTATCCAGCATGTTGTAGATATGTGAACACAAAGGGTCTCATGAGCAAAACTGTCCTGATAAACCCCGCATTTGTATGGATTTCACTGGGCAGACCCGGTTAAAAAGAGGCAGGGACATGGGATTCCTTTCCTTAAGGAGGATAAAACCTTTCAGAAACAAATTTGAATTGATGCTTAATGCAGATCTCCAGATTCAATCCTCTAATTCTGAAAAAGAGAAATCAGTTCCACTCACTCCAAAGTAGACAAATAGCTCAAAGTGGACAAAACAAGAACAAAAAGAAAAACAAAACAAAACAAAAGAAACCTTGAATGCATGGTTTAACACAGAATGAATATTGAATAACTACCTAAAAAATAGCATTTTGAAAAGACAAAAAAATTATTCTTTTTTGAGGTCCCACATGTCCAGATATTGGGCAAATGAAAGAGGTTATCAGAAATGATAAGCTCTGGAAACAGGGATAGAAGCCTTTGTAGCGCAGGTAGGAATGAAGACAGTAGATGAATGTAGGGCCAGCCAGTGGGATTAAGAACAAGAATATGCAAAGGGTAAAGAATGATAAATATAGATAGATAAACAGATGAGAAACAAAGGGAGAGAAAGAGGAAGAAAAACTTATTTTGTGTGTAAAAGGATAAAGTTTTCCATGAATGTAGGGCCAGCCAGTGGGATTAAGAACAAGAATATGCAAAGGGTAAAGAATGATAAACATA